AAATTTAATTTCACTCGCTCCAATCTCTCCTCCCCCAAGAAGCCTGCCTTCTGGAATGAATGTTCTTTTTTTATTTTTTTTTCTAATCTGGAATTTTGTTCCCCTGGCTCAGCCTACACCGCACGCAGAAGGACGAAGACGCATCCACAAACTTGAGGAGGGGGGAAAAAACAGAAGGAAAAGAAAATAGTCCACGTAAACAAGCGAGCCGGCTGCTGCAGGCCCTCGCTCCGGCAAACCCCCAACGATCTCATTGCAGGGCGCCCACGAAATCCCGGCTGTAATTGAGTGTTTTCTTTGAGGTTTTCTGACCATGTGCTTTTTACCATGGTTACCATGACTCTGATAGAAGCTGGATATTCATTATGATCGCGCCCCATCCCTTCCCTGGGACTCATCTCCGTGGCCCTCACAAAGGCGGATCTAAAGGAGGGGGCTTTTGTGCCAGTGGTCTTAACCCGCCCCACCTTCCAGTGACCTGCCACATGCTCCTCCTTACTTTATAGACATCTGGGAATTCCAGACATGCCTTAAACTCCAATTACACACCTTCTTCAAAAGACACGTGCTTTGATTTGCTGAGAGCGCTAAGTGGGCCCACGTCCTGGGGTCTTGGGACAAAAGCAACTGGAAAATGTATCCCACGGCCGTTTCCCGGGTCTGCCCTTGGCTGTTCAGGCAATAATGCTAATTGATCCATATATATATATTTTTTTTGCATGGGGAGGGCTGGGTTTCGCGGTTTCTGGGAAATGGTGGGGTTGCCGGCTTTGAGAAACGACGAGGAAACCGAACTCTCCTTCCACTGGGCCGGCGCACTTTCCTTCCACTTTCGCTGGTGCTGGGGGTGGGGCACGCGGGATGACACACAGCAGAAAATTCTGGAAAAGTGGCCCCCGGGGAGCCCCCTGCTGACCCCCGTGTGTCGCACAGGTGGGCCTGTCTCTGGGAATCTGAGGCTGGGCCTTTGCCTGAAGCTGCTGCTGCTCCCCGCGCTCCCGCTGCCACCGTGCCCGCTGCAGGTGAGGCTCCCGCTCCCCGCCGAGCTCTGTTTGGGTTTCCGTGGCGTTTGTTCCCCGCAGGTTTGTTTGTTTTTCTTCAAATTACAGATGCAGGGAAAACCGCCTGACATCATGAGAGCGGGACAAACGCTCACTTTGAAGGATTCCTGGGCAGGACTTCAAGTGAAATCATATGCCTGAGAAGAACTTGATACCGGTCTAGAGAAAATAACCAGTTCTGAGTTTGCCAAACCGTGGAATGTGCAAAATGCTGGACTTTTTTGCAAGGGGCCAAGTGTCCCCTTAAAAAGCTCCACTATGAATATGAGCCTGAACACCGAAGGCGCCAGGAGCCGGTGCCTTTGTTGGGTGTGGGAAAGAAGGGCACACGTTGTGTGAGTTCCCGTTATTTCACACGTTCCACTTGGGGAAGGGTACCTGCTACTATGCAGGCATTACCAACTGCATGTGCTGAGCAAGCCTGTGCACAAAGCGGGGAAATGTGTGTATATGGGAACAAAAACGTGGTGTTTTCTTATGACAGACGCCTGTCAATCAATCCTCACTGGACATTGTGACTGGCAACGACATTAATAGCAAGACCAAAAAAATTATGTACACGTTAAGCATTCTTACTCAGATGCTTAGATTTCACCCAAGACAGTTTAATACAATATTTGTCCTCCAGGGAATACATTCTGGTTAAGACTCCTGGGTCCAGCCACCAGATGAAATTCTAACTTCTAAAACAGAAGTCATTTTAAGTGTTCTTCAAATAAGGATAGGTAGCAAAAATAAAATGAAATAGGAAATAATGGTGGAGGGGGGGGGAACACAAGTGGCTTTACTTCTAAAACAGAACTGTCATCGTCATGGGTATTGGGGTTGGGGAGGTTGGAAATACAGAAAGTCTGCAAGCTGAAAATTGTATTTTAATATTTATATTTTCCCACACTGAATTCTTCTCAAAGTAAAACTAGCCACCACCTTGCTTTCATTCATTTATTTCTCTGAAAATCTAGGGGAGATATTACCTTCAGTTTAGTATTTAGTATTACTCAATATAAATGTGGCATTTGCTTTTGTGGAAAGTGTTTTCTCTTATGGAAAAAAAAAAAAAAATGGAGAGAGCAAAACACCAGGGAAAAAGAGGCACATGGAAGACTACCTATTTTTAAAACTTCTGGTTTTTATGTCATCAGAGATAAGACAGAGATTACCTTCTCAGCAATGATGGTCAGCTCCATCCTGATGTACGTACGTCAAGAAATCTGAAATATCAAATAGTCAGACCAAGCTAGTGAACAAGGAGATTCCTCCATGAACAATTTGGAAAATGGAGGTGGTTGGGTAATACACACCAAAAAGAGAATTACCATCTGATGCTCATCCTCCCAGAGCACTCTCCTCACATTTCTGCCCTACACACACACACACTCACTCCCTCCACAAATACACCCACACATAAGTACTTCCCCCTCTCATTATTTGGTAAAGGACTACCAAAAACCAAACATGACTTCCCCAAGCCTTCACTCATCTTTTAATACGAGTAAATGCTATCAGCCTCCTATGGTAACATATGGTCTAAACTATTCAGAATAAATTTACAATATTGTTAAGTCAGCATTCTGTGAAGGTGTGTGATGAGGGAAACAAAAAACCTTTGGCAATATAACCTCAATCTGAGCTGAGCAAACTCGATCTGTTTGCATTCATACTTATCTGCCACAGTCATTGTTTGAATTAGGCAGAAAAATGACTTTCCAGTTTGAAAGTTTTTCTATTTACACTTGAATGCAGTAAACTGGCTGTAAAAGTTATGAACTAAGCAATACAAACTTAGTATTTCTAATAATATTAATGATAAAAGCCAGGATTTTCCTGGCCCAGAAATAACCAGAATAAAATAAAAAATCAAATACCATTTGTCCCCGTTGTTTTACGTAACTTTATCAGATTTCCTATAAATAATGTTAACAGGAAATAATTCCGTTTAATTTTGAATAAAATGTTTGCTAATGAACTGACTAGAAAATGAATAGCTATAGCATTTAAAACTGTAATTGTCCCAATCGTTACCAAGGAAACTGAAAGTTCACGTTCTTTGTTAATTGTATCTGACGCCACATGTTCACTATATTTAAAGAAGGAAGGTGCCTCCCAAATGGATAACATCAAAATGGGGAAATAGTCTTAACTTTGGCTATCCCTTTGAACAAGCATGGCACTAATGCCATTTTCATTCACGAAAGAGGAGTTAATAAGCAAATTACTTTACAAATGGAATTTTCTTTCCT